AAGATCATTTTTTCCTTTTCCTCTACTGGTTACGAACCATCGGTTTTGATCGCGGCCGAAGGGGTGATTTTGCTTTGAAACCATTATTATATAATGGGCCAGGTTAGTTTTTGAAACCATATTTTGGTGTGATTTTGTTTTATTTTAGGTGAGATTTTTCGCTGACCTTGAAGTTATTACATATTTTGTTTCGACTATCACTCACTCTGTATTTTTAATGCGAGTAGACTTAAATAATCTTTTATTTTTACAGAACTTCGTTCTGGGGGGGGCTCAGAGCTCTATACTTAAGAAGTCTGCTTTGTAATTTTTGTGAAAGTTCTAGTTGTCGTAATACCGTCACATTTTAGAAAGCAATTCACTACAGACATACCCGTATGTATTAGTTTAATATCACTCGAACACAAAATGCATCTAAGTTATGGCACAAATCTTCGGGTAACGCTCATTATTTACTTTGGTAGCGGTACTAACGAGAATTAAGTATGGATGTTGTAATTAAGGTGGCGTGCGTTGCATCACACGCGGCGGTGCGGCCGGGAAAGTGGCACGTGGTGCTCACCGTGGCGGATTGTTTCTGTGATTGGAACTGGGAGGCGGCGGCATTGACCCACGTGACGTCACAACACCTCTGCTCACGTAACTGTACTACATATGTGTATGTTGTTCTGCTATAAGTATGTCTGCACGGGAGTGAATGACCTTTTATTGTTTCTCTGACTAAGACCTACTAACTAGAGGTATAAATAATTTTATACTATACAAATTTTACTATAATAAATAAACAAATTATTTTAATACTAAATGCACCAACAAAGATGACAACTCTTAAAGGCTATCTTTAAGAGTTGTCATCTTTGTTGGTGCATTTAGTATCATTAGGCACGAAGAACGTTGACAAAAAGAGAGTAATACTTGCCCTTTTTGTTTAATTAATGATTTAAGATTATGTTCCAGTTAGAAACATTGTTTATTGTGCGGTCGAGATTATCGTCAACGTCGCATGAAATCGCCCTATTATAATCGTTCTTCAAATAGATGACTGCCAATCCAATATGGCTATCAATTAAAACATAATTAATATGTGACACTAATTGGCTTAAACACCAGTGAATTGCGTAACATCCGCGGCGCTGACACACTTCCGATCACCACGCGATCACCACGCGACAGGCAGCTCGGACTATGACGTAACGCGTCGTGCGACACAAACAAACAACAACCGCGGTATCGATACGATTGCGAACGAACGGGTATTTCGCTAAAATGAACCTAATGTGCTTAGTAATACTCGTAACTCGTGCAATGGTGTGTATTGGTATTTGTAAATATAAGATCCACGTGTGTGTATGTTTCCTCTCCCCGCAACCGTGAACGACCTCCTTCCGACGGGGAAAGTGTCGCGCGAGCACACGCCCTGCGCCCTCGCACCACACCACCACAGCTACACACACACGTGTGCGTTGTGCAACCACAAGGAACATAACAAACTGGATATGGACCATCTAGATGGCAGTTGGTACAAATATGATATAATGGGTTACATAAATATATTAATATTAATTTAATATACATATATGTTAAAAGGGTTGTCACTAAGAGTTGCAAAAGGGACTGTTTAAATTTGACTGATTTAATGGGCAAAACTGATTTTCATTTACGACAATGGAACAAACAATAGAAAATAATTTATAAGTTTTCAGTCCATATAATCATTTATTACCAAAGTATTATTCTTTTATTTTTTTAATAATATTTAATGGATAATAAAATTTAAATGATATTTTTATACTAATTGACTATACACAACATTTTAAGCAAGAATAGAATATTGCACAGTACCTACGTGTCCCTCACTAACACAACTTGTGTATTTCATTGGCTAATACGTATCAATATGTTGTATTCTTTACATTTTGATACGTAACGTTACGTCAGACATACTCGTAGTACATAATACACATGTATTGCACAATATTAGTTGTTTGTGTGTGTCAAACATTTGCGTGTATGTTAATGGACGTCTAAGTATTATATGTTTATGATATTTTATAACAAAATTACTATAAAATGTTAAGTTAAATGTTATACAAAAGACTCGGCGGGCGAGGTGTAATTGTGTGCTCGCTGTACCGGCAGTGATTACGTACTTAACTTAGACACGTGCGTGTGTGATGAGAGTCTACATATCTCGGCAACAGGACAAACAGGTAGATTTTGTAAACACCACAAAGTTGTTACACTGTGATACACCCGAGCATATTTCAAGCAAAACAAAATTCAAAAGCTGAGCTATTCGTCGGTGATTAAATAATTGTAAGATCGAGGCAGTTGCGGGGCGGCCGGGTGCCACTCGCCGGTGACATAACTGTCGCTCGTTTTGAACTTGTTGTACTTGTTGGAGGCGTCCGACAATATAATAGTTAAGTTAGTGTCGCAATTTGTATAGAGCCGCGTCCTGTCACTGTATGTAGATCGAACCTCACCTAACCGACATACGGACCTGGGATCACCGATCTGACGGAACTATGTACAATGGGTTGTGTGGTATATTCACGGTGGTGAAGATTAGCAGCAAATGACAGTTTCTTGTGATTCTATTTTTTTTTGAGATTGAGGTAAGTAACGACGGTTTCACATATTTACGACGTGTATGTTTCATGTTCTGTGAGCACGTCTTTACGAGTGTTACTTCAACTTTAGCCCCCAAGTCCTTGTACAGTGTACGCTCGTATACATTCATATGTATAATGGTTGCTGGTTCTTAATGCAATGATTTGTATTCATTTCATAGTTGTCATTCATATTACTAACATTAGAATTTAAAATGCTGGTGGTCGCGGCGTTTATGGTCTCGCAAAAATAGCCTTCAAATTAAAATGCTACAGGTAAAGTCATGTTGTGGACGAAATTAATTTGATAAAGTACAACGTAATACGCGTTTAAGTATCATTTGAAGTGCCATCAACGCCAATCATGATAAAATATTAACTCCCTTCTGGGGGGTCTGTCTCCAGAAATATATTTACTATGAACGTTTTGGCCCCTATCCCTTGTGTATGCATTTGTTTCTAATAAGCTGTGCTAGCCATGTTATCAAGTGGTCTTTGGAACAAAACAATTCATTACTTCAGTTCATTGTACAACCAGTACCGTTCGCCTCGTACACGTGTCAGTGTATTCAATTAATCCTTCGTAAGTAAAAGTAGTGTGAGCAGTTGGGCCGGCCACTGTGGAGCGTATTATAACGTTTAATAAAATGTGTTGCAATGCGCATGTGGTGCAATTGTTGTGCTACAACCCGCACTCATAAATATCGCAATTAGCAACATACAAAAAGAATGGCCGTGAATTTTTTCACTCAATTTCTTTTCTCAGTCTGTCTAAAGTATTGTCGCAACAAATGTGAAGTTCGTTTTAAACACAAAGTAGGTCATTAGTCACATTAGGTCATTAATGTCTTTAGATAGATCGTCGAAAAATATAGAGTCCAACTTTTCGCTATGTTTCTTTCCGCTGTCACTGTATGTCAACTGTGTCATCTTTGTCACTTCAAACGCTCGATTTACCTACAGATCAACGCAATAAAATGGTTCGTTTTGGTTGTTTTGTAGTGCGACAGTCCACCTAGACTCATAAACCAATCCTAAGTGGACAAGCTAATGCTCGATAAACTTGGTATGAACATCACGTCCCTATTGTGCGAGTTCTGCCTCTTTCACTTTAACGGGCAGCCTCGGCGAGTCAAAGAAAGCAAAAGTATGCGAGTCTTCATTGTGTAGTGTACGGTGACGTAACAGTTGTATAAGAGAGGCCGCGCCCACCGTCTGCGCCGCTGACCCACTGTGACCCGCCGTCGGGCCGCTACCTCGCGATCTGCCCGTTATATGTGCGCTTCTTTATTTATGTCTAACGCAACATCTCTGTTCCTCTCCCAGGGTAACTGTGTCTTAACGATACAGGAAACGAAATTCATCATATGCGCATTAATTCTATATTATTTATCTTTTTAACACTCATGTCTGTAATTTGTACACCGTAAATGTAAAACGTCAACTATCTATTTACCTTTCCCATTTGACGCAATGTTTGTATTGAACACTTGTTATGTGTACAATACTGTTTGGTATACTAGTTCTTTTTTAAACTTCTATCATGGTAGCGTATAGGTAACGCTCGCGCACATACATACATGTGTATAAAATTGATTGATGGACAATTTCAACCATCTCGTCGATGTCAGGCATTAGGATTCTATTTATTAATTCCCCGTAATACAAACTCGTATAAGGCTGTCATTGTTTTATAATTTCACGTTTTCCTCTCAATAACCAGATGCGTCTCTTGTGATACACTCGCAAAGCACAAATTTACTTCATTATTAATATCTTCAGTAGTTTCATTGGCGACAGTTGACTAATATTCATGTTTTTGTGCGTTTCTCATCAGCGGTACACGTGTTCATTGTTAGCAGTGTGCGGCGCCCTGTTGCTCCACGTTGCTGCATCAACACCATTTGCCACAGTAGTAATCAACCACCTCTAATAGCTGCAATACTGTCGGCCACTCCAATGTTACTGATGACTTATTCGTCATCCGCATTGACAAGTTTTCATCTCAGTTAACAAGAAGTCTTTGCAATATTACGCACAGTAGTTTAGTACGTTTCGAGAACTATCCGTTAGCAGCATCTCTAAGAAAAATCAGGTCTTACACTGAACCAGGTTCAGGAAATCAACTCTGATAGTCGAAATATAGCAATGGGAGATGAAAGTCTGATCGAAAAGAGACCCTATCATACTTATATACTGTGAACCTGTTGAGCTCTGTGCAATCTTAGCTGAGAGTGTGCAAGCGGTGCCTTGGGGTGGCACGTGTGTATTACGCAGTGCACATGTAAACAACAATGGCCGAAGATGCGGCAAGTTCAAGGTGCACAAGGAGGGAGGGGGTGGGGAGAGCGGCGCTCTTCGCGACTCAGATAAAGGTCGAACGTCTCATTATTGTCTCACGCGCTCGTCGCGCTCGCGCCCCAACGTTGCGCACTCGCTGCTCGTGCACGTGTAGTTAAGCAGTTGCGTAGCGGGACTCCACACCTGCTGCAGGAGACCTGGGTCCATTGATATACCCTCTACATTCGCGTTGATGTTGGCACCATTTTCAATAACACATTCGCCTGCTTTACGAGTTCTGACAACTACGGGATGAGTAAGACGTTCCAGATTTTGTTTTTTTATCTCTGATCTCTGAGTTCTACAGAAAAAAATAAAGTTGCAACTTGCGAATACCAATAACAAATTTAACGGCCTACCGATGAAAATAAACCTAAGCACCTCACCCCCCAGGCTTCAATCTGTAGTGTTGTTGACCCTCAATGACCCTGTTACACAAACATTTAAACATTGGTGTCCGACATAAGGTGGTTTCCCTTTATATGTACAACTCGTTCGATGAACAGGCAGGCTCACGCTGGTGCCTCTACACTGCGCAGGCACTCGTGTTGATCGTTGCGTTCTGTTGATTGTTAGCTGTTGGGCACGCAATACGCACCTCACGCCATCTCCACAAACCACTCATTATAATACTAGCGCATGCATATTATCTTACGATTGTGCAGTAATCAAAAGTCTTGCTTGTGGTGTAAATCTCCGTGGTGTTTAGTTCCTAGATAAACGATGACGTCATTCGATACGACGTACACTCGGGGCTCTCATATGCTCGTGTAACTCTCGCACGTGAAATTTAAACAACGCCAAGTTGTTTGTGAAAGTAATTGTTACTCGTTCGTGATGTGTGTCAGTGGAGAGTGTCGTGCTGTGACGTACGTCGCCACGTTGCGCAGCTCATTGTTTTTTTATTGAAGATTTCAGATCGGTTACCTGATAGAAAGTGACCAATGATCGCCAGCAAATCAAGAGTCACAAGCGCGTTGCCGGCCTTTGAGGAAGGAGTTCGCTTTTTTCTTGAATGTCGTATCGGTCCGGAAATACCGCAGACAATAACTTGCGCCACAAATTTGGTATTGATTCATATACATAAATATAGAATATAGCATTAAGAGTTTTAGTAGGTCTATCATATTATTAATAAGAGCCGACTTATCTGTCTTTTAAAATCAGTTGCCGAATTAAATTTATTCTATCAGTGGAGCATACCGTAGGTCACAAGCGAGTTCAGGTAGACGAGTTATATTTTCTTGACTAGGGTATCAGTGGCAAGTGAGAGTGTTCGTGTCGGTGCGCGCTTGCCCCGACCTCGCCACAGTCCAAATGCCACCTCAATGCAGTGAGTAATTGGTGAACTCTCGCTATCCTTGTTCTCGTTTACTTGAACGTATTTACCGTCCACTAGCAATGAATCTGTTCCACGCTTGTATCAGGTTGAAGGTGACCGATATCGGCCCGTTGTAATACAAGAAACAGGTGGTGCTTTGTAGGATCTTTCTTACGTTCAAGTTTAAATTTACCCGCAAACCGCCATCCAACCATTAACGTGCACAGAAAAGAGCATCTATACCCTAGATGCTAATAGCTAGCTGTCAATTAGGATACTAATAATAAGTTTTAAATGATTGAATCCGCGAGCTAAACACAGAATGTAAATGATGTTGAGAACAGAGAGAAGCGAGATAGAAATTAAATCCCATTATTTACCAAAATAATGAGCTTCTCAAGCAAGTTAAATATTCAATGTATGGTTGACGTGCGATACATTGAACATTGTTTGATAACTTTGAATATTATTTGACCAACGACAAGAACAATGGAATGGTTCCTAAGACAGTTGCGCGGTTCTCCCAGCAGCAGCAGAATCCCAGTTATAAATGCAAAAAGTTACATTTCAATTCAATTATTTCAATTATTCATTTCAATTATTTAAGTGAGTGAAATGTGAACTAGGTGAGTCGATATTTCAAACGGCTCAAGGGTGACCAATTGGTCAGGAGTGGTATGTTTTAAAAACATTAAAGTCAGTTGTACATTATTTAAATTACAATTTTACTGTGAAATTATTATTCTTCGCATGCAAAATAATATAACAAAGTAAAGTGCGTTTTTTGCGAAGATAATTGTTCGTAAATGTAACATTAACGGAACGAAACACACGCATAGGAGCGAGCGGCCACGGGTATAGGTGATGCAAAGCGCGTTTATGTCTTTTGTACCCAACAACTGTTTGTCAACCGGCGAGGGGCGCGAGTAGTGATAATATTAATTAAATATATATAATTTTTTTCTAGGAACATTTGAACAGAATTAAAAAAAAACAAATTTATTGCCTCTATGAGATATGTGGAAGAAGACGGACGAAGTTTAAACCTACTTGTATAAAATTGGTGTTGAAAGAGGGTTATTTGAATAAAGCTCATGGCCAGATACAACATTTGTCTTTACAAAATATTCATTTTAGGTATCTGTGAAATTTAGAACCTTTAGTTTCACCGGCTGGTCAAAAGTGATCACAGGCGAGAGACCACCCCTATAAAGGGCATGAGGGTGGGAATGCGCCAGAGAAGTTACAAACGTTAATGAGCCTTGAATCGATTGTACATTACTGTTGTTACGTTATTAATTAGTAAACCTTGCGCTTGTTAACAATTGTCCGGAGCTGTTGCGACACTCGCTCCCAACTCTCACCGCCCAGAGGAGCTCCCGTCGCTCCGACAATTGAGTGGCGGCTCCATATCTAGGCGCAAGGTGCGCTGGTGAAAACTACTTCATGTATATAATTAGTACGCTGACGACATCGCATCGCATATGCGCGACAACCGTAGTGGCGTTGGGACAGGGAAAGAAGTGCTAGGAGGGGGGGAGGGATTATTGAAGAAAAGAAAGAATTATTGAAGAAAGAAAGAAAGATTGGATTGAGTTAAAAGTCTATTGAACTGTGTTTACAAAGACTAATATTCATATAGTATTAAAATATTTGTTCTTTTCGTGAGAACTAACAAAAAAGTATTATGGTTATGGACTGTACACTTATGTTGCACAGGTAGTTTGTAGGGCCAGGTCATACACTGCACAGTGGCATTATAAACAAGGAAAGCCGTGTGCTATCGCTCGCTTGTGTGCACATCTCTGTACTGTCTTCAGACGAAAGGCTTGTTAATGTGGCATTGTTAACTAAAACGAGTGCGTTCAAGAGATTAGAAAGCACCGCGATGCTGGGCCCACCGCACCGACGGCACGACCGGGATGAAAGATAAAATGGTCCAAAGTGTAGTGGCTACCTCAACCTACTCATTGTCAATAGTTTGTCGACGCCTAACTATGTTAAGTAAAAGTGAACCGCAATGCACTCGAGAGTAAAGACGTGGTCCGAACATATCAAAGTTATGATGTGAACTTTGGAGCGGAATATTAATGACTGATCATTGAAATATACCCCTGGGAGTAGTACTGCGAGGAAATGTGAGAACATTGACAGTGGACACAAAACTGATGGCATCAACCCTGCACTACGAGTCGTAACGTAAGAGGTGAATAGTTGATGCTTAAATTGTAAACGGGTTACCTTTAATCTGATTACCTAGCTACTAAGTGTGGTCACAGTCACGGGGTCACTGTCCTTGAACTCAGACGGTGAAACAAAAGGGAAAGACAGGCGTATAAATGGTGTGTAACCGTTTGTAAATATTGACGAGGACATTGTAACCGCCACGAGGGGGAATTCGACCGAGTACCAGTAACCGAAACTGGTGCAGGCCAAAACTTGACATTTTTGACCATGTAAAAAACCCCGTGCTGATTGAACCCCATGGGCTCCGGGCTGATAAAACGGGAATTCCCGTACTGCCCTAAATTTACTGAAGCGGGCCCACTCACCACAAAACTTTAATTAATTTTACGGTCAACCCCCTTAAATTTTTTATTCGTTACCAAAAATTTTTTTTTTGTCAATTTCTTTTCACTTTTCCAAGGCCCACTGATTTAATGGGCAAGGGGTGCGGGGAGAGGACGTAGTGATCTTTGACCCCCCCCCGGTACTGTACCGGTGCCCGGTATCTATAGCAACCGGCGGTGGTTCAAACTACTTAAATGAAAATAAATCGAACATCGAATATTAAATATATAGCATGACCTCTTCATGACCACGAGTTCTGTCAGTCATTATAAAAGTGGATCAGCGACACAGTCTGGAAGCGCGGGCATTGCTGCCACCGTTTTGCGGGGCGCTTTCCCCGGCAAACCGGACCATAGCGCGGGGGGAAACATCCCGATGCTAGCGAGGGATCAGATGTTACTTTACCCCAACATGTGCGCGTTTGTTTACATGTGAGTGGCCTCATTAATGGGTACTCACTGCACTGCACAAAGGAAACACTTGTCTCTACAAACCTAATTAGAATCGAAGTACGTACGGTGTCCAGTCCCCGGTTAGTTGCGGCTTCAAAGTAATCGAAATCGGTTTCAATCACGCTATAGATCGATATTGTGTCGAACGCGCGCCCAAGTTCCGGGGGCGAGGTTACGCGGGCTCACCGGTGTGTGGCAACCGACCACGTACGTTGCACTGGATAGTTCAAAGCAGAGCAAAGTAGGGCGAAGGGCACCGAGTCGGGACGGCCGGCGCCTTCCGCCCAGGTGTGTCTGTGTTTGTGGCGGCGCACGCGCTTTGCTTTCGTTTCAGAGTGGGCGGCGAGGCGGAAAAGCTTGCGCCGCTTATGCAAGCGCGTACGCCGCTATCTTATTGTGTGCGGGTACGTTTCCGATCTGCTGGCGCTGGACACTGACGGGAAAGGGACTGTACGGAGCGGAGCGACGAGTGGGGTGGACACGAGCGTGCGGAGCGAGCGCGCGCGACCGAGTGCTGCAGTACCCGGCTCCGTGAACGCGGAGCAGCGCGCCCTCCCTCCGTCCTCCCTCCCCGTCCCGCAGCCTCTCACCGAGAGTTTCCCGCGCCACAGTTTTCCTTGTTTCCCTCGATCGCGCAGCCCGCCACCGGCTTAAGGATAACGGTTAAAGGACCGACAGTGTTTCCAGCTGTTTTAGTATGAGTAGAGACCGAGCTTATTAATGCGCAGGTACCTAAGCTATTTATAAAAAAAAATGCTCTATGTCATCGCCTGAATTTATACCCCCTGAACATTTTAACAAGTACCTAAATAGTTATATGAATAATGTCCACTTATTAGGTATAAATGAAATGTCAAGATATTAACTGATGTTTAAAAATATACATCAGTTAATATCTTGACATTTCATTTCATTCAAAAATATACATCAGTTAATATCTTGACATTTCATTTCATTCAAAAATATACATCAGTACTCCCCGTTAATAGAACTATGGCATGGCAAAAGTTATCGTAATTGTGTCACACATTGCAATTTACGAGTATGTATGTTATATCTCGCTGCTAATCAATTTGGCTTGATTTACGATGCCTCAATAGAGAAATATATGGGCCAGTAGCACAGAACATAAAACCCATTCTCCCATAGAAATCCCTCTAGGAAGTGTTTATCCTAAGGTGCGCAACTTTTGTTTTCATTTGACTTGCCGTAGAGAATAGAGAAGAACTAATTCTCTGATCGGTTAGCTACAGGTTGAAGTTGATTAAAACATGACTGTCT